ATGTTTAACTATTTGTGTTTTATGAAAAATATGTTTATTCACTCATTTCTATGAGATTTCTTTACTTAGCAAACTCCGTGTTGCATTATTAATACTAAGATGATAGCAAGCATTAGTTGATTATTTGCTATGTCCCAGATACTATTCTTAGATTTTCACATGCATTATTTCATTCAATTCAGACAAGAACCCTATGAGGGTGGAACTATTTTTATTAGCCCCATTTTATACTTAAGGAAATTAAAACTTAGAGAGATGTCCTAGTTTATGCACCTGGTATGTCGTCGAATATCAGAACTGAAAAACCGTGACTCCAGTATATGAGCTATTAACCCCGCAGTTTACACTGCATTTCTCTACAAACCTAAGTATAATTATTACTATAACAACTCATTTGTTATAATGAAAACTGACAATACAAATTAGTTGTTAATTTTATATGAGGGGAAAAATTAGAAAATGAAATAAACATAGATTTTAATATTATTGCTGCTATAAAATGTGTTTTAATAGATCTGTATATAATTTCATGTTATAAAATGGTATAACAAATCATAAATAGAATATACTGTTATTGACTTTTTAAATTCCTTATAAAAATTAAATGTGATTTGAACTCATTTTAAAATGAATTCAATGAAAGATAAATTTCTGAATCTGCTCAGATTTAGAAAATTTAAATTGAGCAATACAAATGATGCAAGCAGCAAATATCTCTATGTTCTAATACATGTCCATTAAACTGTATTATACCTTTTAATTTTTTTATAATGAGGATACTTAAATATTTTTTCACCAAAATAGAAACGCTTTTAAAAACAAGAGGTTCTTTTTATAAGTACAATTACTCCAGGCAAACTAAGCATATGGTCACCCTACATAGAATAAAGTTTCATTAATTCTTCAGTAACTGAAATCTATTGCTTTAAGTCCAGGGGAAATTTTAGGAAGCAGTGTGCTATAATGGAGATGAAATGACTCAAATTGAGGATTCTGCATTCTCATCCAATTTTGTTAGTTATTAATATCCCAGAGCTTCAGTTTCTTCATATGTTGGGGAGGGAAAAAAAACAATACTTTCCTCTTCTTAGTAATGTGTTAAAGATTAAATGAGAAAATAAACATGACTGTTTAGACTACATTGCAAACTTCCAATATAGATCCAAGTTATAATACTGAGAGATCCAAGCTATAAAACCAAGGTAGACAAAAACAAACTACTCTACCTTTAAAACTCTAAAATTCAAAAATACATTATATTTTATAACGTGTCTGAATATATTTATATATATACATTTTTTGTTAGTTTGCAAACTAAGTTTATGGTAGTTCACAAAAAAAGTTGTAACATGACATGAGGCAAGTTTTTAAAAGAACTTTCTCACATCAAAATCAAACTAAGCTATTAGAATTCTATATTTAAATGATTTTAAAACTGGCTTCATAAGTTCACACTAAGAACCTGAAGACCTACATTTATTAGTAGTTAAGAAACATGTGGCTTTTAAATTGAGAGATTTCTTTTTTCAAAATTATGAAAAGAAAAATACGCTCCTCTACTAATTGATAGAAACTATGATCAGCATTCACAGTTGTTCATATTTCATATTATACTCTACAAACAACACAATGAATGCCCCGAAACACTGCCTTTAAGTGGCTATTCAGCATCATTTGACTAGGGAATCACTAGTATCCTCTCCCAAACACTTCAGTTTTCCTCAATATGGGTCTAGAATTTGTTTTCAAACTCTTTAACAGGATCACTGAAAGGAAACAGGATAAATACTATAAAGGCAGGCCTGGATCAATTCCAGAGGCAAGTACTCTCACAGCACTGGGTTGGAATTATGCCAAAGAGGAAAGTGTTTTTGCAAATGAACATAATGCCATAGTTAAGTATAAGGTATTTAATTCCTTTGTCAACATCACCAAGGTGAAAAATTAAGAAAGCTATACGATGAACAGTTTACTTGACTTGCTGGAGAATACACATACACTTTTTCAGTAGAACTGTGAAGAATCATCTTAATTCCTTTAATCACTTTGTTCTCTTAACAAATCTTTCTACTAATACCTGATTCCATCCATTCCTACACAGAATTACCACAGATAATAGTGAAGCAATTTAACTTTAAACTACTTTAGTGTTTGCGGGTGACAATTCTGGTACTCAAATGTGGTTCCACTTCTTGAAACCAAAGTAAATGAAAGTGAATAAATTTAATAGTGTCACATACAGAGGGATAATTTTGCTCATTTGGGAAAAATCAGAGTCTTTCTGTCATGATAAATATATCTCTTTTCTGCCGTTAAAGATCACTTTTCTTATTAAATTCTATACTTAGAGATTTAGGACTCAAACAGTTCTTTTTGCTTTCCTGACATATATGTAAAACATTTGAAATACAAAAAGTGAAACTAAATGTACTATGATTTTCTGAAAGATCTTTAAATCCTAAAAGAATAGGACCTTTAATTCTATTTATCATTCTTATCTGAGATAGATTTAATTCTGTATTTCATATGTGATTTTTAAAATTGTACTCTTATTACTACTGAAACTGGCTGCTTCTTCAATAAGAGTAATAGCATTTCTGAAATTTTTCTTGGAGTTGATATTATTGAGTCCTCCATTAGTTTTCAGTAATTGACATCATCTTCTTCTCTCTGAACGTACGAGTTAACAGAAGATATTTCTATACTTGCCCAATGAAATAGCATTCTACCTACTAGCAGAAATGAATCACTAACTTTTGATTTACATAAATATGGATCTTACAGAATTTTCTACTCACTAACAAATAAGGTCAATAAGGGACATAAGGAGATGACAGTGGGTAAACAGACCAAGCTCCTTCATGGTTTATCACAAGAGGCTGCTAAACTAATCTTAGGATGTGAACCTGTATCATCTCCATTTGTTTTGCTCCAAGTTCACTTTACAATGTTAGCTATGTGGTAGATAAAAATGGAAAGTTGGGCTATAGTGGACATTATATAACAGAGAATGACTGAGACCATGTATGTGAAGTATTCAGTTCTTCAACTAGGAAATGTATTCGCTCAGTTATTCTGTTATTGCATCTAGAAATAGCTGAGCTACATACGTAATTCTGAGATTTCTAACAGCTGAAGTAAAATGGTAAAAAAAAAATTCAAATGCATTTTAACATGTTATTAAGCTGAACAAAAAATAAGATGTGATTACTTAATATGTAGGCAATATACAAAACTTAATAACAATATGTGATACATTTATCTTTTTTCATACTAAGCCTTTGAAATCCAGTGAGTAGTTTATACTTATAGCCCATCTCAATTTAGGATGGCCAGTTTCCAGAACCTAAATTATTGTATGCAGCTACCGCTACAAACACATGATAGCACAAATCCAAATATTTTTAATTATTATTATTCTTTAAAATTATAACAGAATGAGAATTTCTTGGGGAGTTGCATAATTTATATATCAAGCCACTATAAGCAAAGTATTTAATTTCAGCAATGAATCAGAATAATGTTTACTAGGATTCACCTCGCTTTGTGATCCGAAACAAGGGAAATAATATTAAAAGCCCAGGTTCTAAAAGAAATGCCCAGATTTTATATTCCAAGTTAAGTCAAATATTACTGAAATAACTACAAGTAAGTGATTACCAATGATAGCTCCAGTTTTCTATTCTGAAAAATAGCTGACAATGATTTGTTCCTCACTGAATGAAGTTTTATAGGTAAAGCACATCACAGAGGTATCCACACATAATAAATTATTGGAAATACTACTTAATAATTACTGATTCTCGCCCCTCTAAATTAAACACGGCTTACATATATTAAATTTGTGCCCCTGATTCAGCAGAAAGGATGTGTAAGACTGTAAGATTGTTTTTTTTTTTTTGAGCATACATTATATTTTTAAGTTATAAGTTAAAAGATATTTACTTTAAAGATAGTACTCGGGATATCTACAAACAAAATATCTCTAACTTTAAATTCCAAGCAATGTAGTTTTGTTATTATTTTTTTATTTTCCCAGGAGAGAGAGAGAGAGAGAGAGAGAGAGAGAAAGAGAGAGAGAGAAAGCAATTGATTCAAAGAGAAAGTGGGATTCTCTGAAAGAGAGATAAAAATTCCCAGTTAAAGAAAGTAATTACACCTTACAACTTAAGATGCAGGAGACCCCAGATTGAGGATGTACTATGATGCCGTTTTAAAGAGAAACATATTGGTCAATACTTGTCAATTATTCAATATAAAATGTTCTCAGTCATGACAACAGAATGCAGTGTAAAAGAAAATCCAATTTTATAAAACAAAGGAAAAAGCTAACTAATTCATATACTTTTTTGATTCAAAGCAAACAAAATATTCAGTTGCTACAGTGTGGTAATGAATACTTGACTTTGATCACTTTAACAAAAATCTGGCACAATATACCATGATTTTTAAGAAAAATACTCACTTTATGACTTAAGAGAAGAAAAACAACTTTGGTAGAAGTAACTGCTAAGATTTAACAATTATACACCAATGTTTTAATACTTACATAAAACAATTTTATAAGTGTGCAAATGTATTGTAGCTCTTCCTGTATGTAAAATTCTTATCAAATTCTTTAACCTTCTCTTTTCTGTTACACACCAACCAAAACAATAAAAAATCGAGAGGTATCTCATAGAAATAAATCCCAATTAATAAAACCCACTGTTCAATTTCCACTTTTATGTCTCATAACCTAGTGTGCATCTGTTGATTTCTATAAGAAGAATAAGGCAAATTATATTTTAATAACAAATGTCATTATCAACAATATTTACTGCATACTTAATGCAGATATCACTGTGGGTAATCTCTGATAATCCAACAGTGACTTTACTTAACATCTGTATAAAACTACTGGTACAGAGCATACTCACTTGTTCAAAGAATTATTACTTAAAATATCTGATACTGAAATAAAAATGTAAATGAGAATTTTAATGGTGCATATTACTTACGTTCACATGTGTCCCCTTTTTGCTGGTATCCTGCTTTGCAGATACATTTTCCAATGGGCACTAACCACTCTCCTTCGGCACTGCAGTGCATCCTGGGTGAGTTTTCTGCTTCTTCTTCAGCACTGCTGACACATGTCCCTCGAACCTCCACTAAAGAGGAAAATTCTGAACCAGTCACTGTATCTGGAAAGATAGCTAAGTTCTCAATAATGGACCAGCACTTCTTGTAGTACACTTTGACAGAAACCAAAGCTATACAAGCCCCTACATCCTGAAAGGCAAGATAGAATCCCTTTTTGGACAAAGGTCCAATCTCTCTCACCTCAGTGTTCAGCTTCATCTTTCTTTCACCGAGGTCACCTTGGGTAAAACTTTCATCGGCAGCAATGGTGTCTATTTTTACATAGAGGTTTTCTCTTATATTCCTGCCAGTGTCGTAGTCTGTTTCATAATAGTACAAATTAAAAGTTTCCTTGCAAGTTCCCAGTACTCCAGGAAGACTGTTACAATCCCTCAAGGTAAATTTCAATTCTACAAAAATCCTTTGTGCATTCCCTTTCGAAATCCAGTTAGTCCGCAGCCAGTTGTTTTGGTTGGGCTCCATGACCTGGCACACCTGGTACGTTCTGATCGGGGTATAGTTCTCATCCAAACCACTAATTTCTTCCCACTGCAAAATTTAATAAAGATCATCAGTCATACCGAAAAACTATATATAATTTTTTGTTGTTGCAAGTGAGTAATCTTCAATCTATCATAAGTGTGTATCTTTGAACGACTTAGGTAGGTTCCTGCTCTGGACAAAAACGGAACCTAAGAATCCAGCTGATTCTCGGTCCAGTATCATCCGTCTTCTTGAAAGCAGAGCATCATTTTGGTTGCTTGCACTGTTTATAAACACACAAATAATACATTTTGTTTCACATCCATTTGCTGCATATTACTGTTTCCTTTTAAATATTTGCTTATACCTATAGGGTCCACTAAAATTATACCTTGATAACCACAGTGCAGAATACAATTACTTAAATTGCCATTTAATGCGCAGTATACGGGTGCATGGCAGAATTTTTGATAACACACATATTTGGTGGTAACACTGAACCTAGAAAGTACCTAAACACACACACAAAAAAAAAAACTTCAAAAGTATTCTGAAATTTCAAACCATTACATAATGAATTGACATTTTGAATGTAAACTTTTTAATAAACTCTTCAAAGTAAGATATACCGTATTGGTAGTTCACAGAGTTATTTATCTATTGTGCTGATGTATATAATCCTGTATATAAGTCACATAACTACTCTGCAAATTAAAATTCTATATCATATTTTAGTAAGAAAATCTCTGCAAGGAAAAATTAAAATGTTTGAAAATTTGCACCCATACACTACATGGTGAACTCATAGTAGTTAGATAAAAAGGAAAATGAAGTTTACAAGAATTTACTTTTAAAGGTCATGAAGCGACGTATGATATTATGTACAAAATTTATTAGTAAATTCATTTCATCTAAAAAAACTCGAAGACCAAAAATATAATGTTTTTTATATTAATTTTATAAATATAAAAAATTCAAGACAGAGTGATTCCTCAACAGGCTAGAGGAAACAATTTGAGTTCTGGAGGTCCAGGTTTGTTTCTAGAACTTCAGGGTCTTTCTACAAGGAGCAACCCCCAAGAGTCATTCTGGAAGTATCCCCTGAGGACTATAGATGTGGCATCAAAGAAATAAATAAATAAAATGCCACTACTTTTCTATAAGGAAACAGTGCAATCTTCATCTACTTGTATTCACTTTGCCGATATAATATGCTATATATATATATATGTATCTTGGCAAGCTTAGAAAATGATACAAAACACTCATGTTTTGCATGGAATGTGGGAGGCCCAGTTTTGATTCCCAGCACCATATGTTGGCCCCACACCACCACCAATAAGGGCCCCTGAGCAATGTACCACAAGAATTCGCCTCCAGAGCAATATATATTTATATATGTATTCAAACCTAAAGTCATATAGCATCCACTATTTAAACTATTGTTTCAATTTTTTGAAAAGTAAAAAATAAACTAATAGATCCTTGGCAAAGTATTTTATACATAAAACTTGACATGGGATTCCATTTATTGAAATAATTTATAACATAATAACACCTACTTTTGAAAATAGTTCTTGGAAAATATATTACCAGAAATTAACAATATACTACAATGCAAAAATTACTTTTATTGTATATTTGCTAAAATTTTATAACATACAGATAAATATAAAGCTATTGCTGAAAAGCAGCAAGGAAACCATTGTCATATCCAGCTTCTCTTAATCACAACTTAAGTTGTAGCTAGGTAATGGTGTGCATAGTTTCCCTTTTCCTCCATGAGTTACTTATCTGTTTAAATGGAGCTGAGTCAAATATACACAAATTAATCTACTGGCACAGGTAGATTTTAGACTAAAATAAGTGAAAAGGGTAATAATAATATTTACCAAAAACTAAAGTTCCAAAGATTTATGTTTACTTTTAGAAATTTCCTAGTTAAAAAACAATGAAAGCAAATTATAATAAATGGGCACATTTCAAGAATTACTTTTTCTAACACCAATAACAATTATAGTGTTTAGTTATATGTATGAAAAATCAGTTTTAATAACTATGAAGCTCAAGTTAACTCTAATTGTTATTTAACAACTTATTCCTAAGGGAGAAATTTTAAGACAAAGACTATAAATAACAAATAGTGAGATCACGTAAGATCATTTAACACAACTCTTATTTTATTATTTCACTTTCTAAAAGACTGCAATCATTCCCACAAATGGCACCATTGGGAAAGAAGTCCTATTTCAGATATTGTGTTTTCATAGTAGGTTTATAAAATTATTTCATAGAAAATTACATCAATACCGCTAAATTATATTTTTAGTCACAAGGGACAAATACATTTCATATAAAGAAAACAGTACCAATCATCATTTTCTAATATTATCTGTTGATTCTTTCAGATATGTAGGGTTAACAGTTGACTCAAGATACTTTGGACTGATAAAATGCCTATTTCAGTTCAAGATACCATAGACAGTTATAATTTATCATTTTATAGATTACATGGGTGAAATACTACAATCATATATCAGTTTACTTCTCCTTAGAGATAAAAACCACCCTCTATCTCTCTTTGCTTTAATTGATGGATGGTAGAAAATGGGCTACATCCGTCACTGGCAAGAAAGGTGTTTCATTTTTTATTGTAAATGTCTTCCTATAATGTATATTATTTGACTCATAAAAAGTACTCCACTTTCAAGATACATGTGACAGCTATTCCTCATATTCAACATATTTTTTGCATTGAATTAGTAAACTATTTGTCACTTCTTCATAATTTATTCTGAACAAGCGAGATAACTACAATGATTTTACCAATCTCTCATATGTTCAGTGGAAAAACTGAATATTTTAAATAGATTTGCATTGTTCAGTTTTTGCCTTCTTAAAGTTCATGACATACTGATTTTATGTTCTATGAAAAATCAAAAATTTCTTTCAGACTTCATTTTTATTTTTTCAAAATGTGTTACACCTTTTACATTTTGACTTCTATACTTCAAGCCCTTTGAATCATGATTTTTTTACTTCCAAAGATTAACTTAAGTAACAAAGGGGTTTGTTCTCTTTTATCATAACCACTCTTTCTTAATAAAGGGATGAAGTACTCACCCTTACAATGAAAATAAGACCTAAAAACATAGAAATTGAACTAAATACAAGTAAATAATGTTATTCCTCATATATAACTATGAGAAATAGTGGTCAAATTTTTAAGGGTTCAATTTATATTTTCATGAATTTCTATTAGTTTCTGTCATATGTTATACCAGATTCTTACTATGATATCTGCACTACTACTGATTAATAACAAAAGGTAGCACATAAGAAAAATTTAGAGATTCCAAGCATTTTCAAAGTTTTCTACAAAATACTGCATATATTACATTTTTGGAATCTCTCTTAAAGTATATTCAGAATGATGCTAAAACTTTTTAAGAGGAAAACAGATTACATGCTGTTTTAAAGAACTATATACAACCTACCTGGTGATTATACTGAAGTATAAAGTAACTAAAGAGGTTTAAGTGAGTTTGTGAAAGGAATGTTCCCTGCAATTAGCATTTATAGCCTGGAATTGAAGCATGGCTCTATTCATAATAAGGATTAAAACATTATGGTGTGTTGAATTTTCTTATTTATTTCCCCCAGCTGTAAGAACCCTTCATTTCCCAAATAACACAATGTCTTTACAACAAAATATTCAATAGGATATTTTAAATCAAAACAGCTTAATTATGAAGCTTTTTTCACTATGCAGGGGTTGTTTCTTACTTTCAAAAATTGAGGTTTATACTTTTATAAGGACTTACCCCATTGGGTGGAGAGGAAATCCATTCCAACTCTGTTTGTTGTGCTTTAGAATCCAGCAGTAGTACTAAAAAAGAAAGTTTATTTTCAAATGTTACATGAAAATTTAAGCATATTTGTCAACATTGTGAATGCAATTCAAACACCTTATCAAGACTGGATTTTATGAAATTATTTATGCAAATGAATGTGTACAAATACCCACCTTATACAAGTATATTCTACTTTCTTAGGGAGAAACGATTCTAAGATGCTAACATTATAATTGATACCTCTTAAATTAAAATCTTAAAATTAAAAAAAATGAAAGTTAGGGTAAAAACTTAGTATGGGATGTATCAATTCTTAGCAATTATATATTAAAATTTTGTGAACCTTACAACCCTCCAAACTTAGCCAAATACAATACCATAAACTTAAGGTTGACTATTTCCATATTATGCTTCATTCAGCCATTAACTCCTAATATTCTGACAAAGGTATTTCCTAGGACCTTTAAATATTTGGAATTCATTTTTACTTTCCACATAGTATCCTTTTTTTAGAATAAAATGAATACTACTAAAAACTACATTAAGCTATTCTATGATAAGTATATTATTTTCAAGACATATTTTGTATTAGCCAAATATCTGTTCATTGTATTACCACTTTTTAAATTTCCACATATGTAAAAATATTAGTTAATGCTCAAAATGATGTTTAATCTTTAACCTGATTTAAAACCAGTTGAATTCCACTTCTGTGCTCTCAATAATTCAATTAATTTATTTCTATATAAATGTCATTGGTGCTATTAATGCAATATGATGCATTCAGATGTAATATATATCAACGCATATCATACTTTCAATTGGATATATTTATTGCTTCTTAGGGCAATTACCTCTTAGGGTATTCACTCTGCATCAACTGGTTTCAGAGTTACTTGAGTTTTTACTGTTTAAAATACATTTCTGACTCTACAACATGTTAACAAATCTATTAATTTATCCAGAAATGATAGTGAATGTATTTTTAGGGATGTAATAGGCATCGCTCCAAATTTAGCAAAATACTGAAATTTAGACCTAAATAAAATACGTACTTTTACAAACTTTTAATTAATTGTTAAAGAAAAAAATATGTACTTGGAAGGTTGTGAAAATCTGCCATGCTAACAAAACAAAGGAACAATTGATCATGGGCTCAATTACTTTACACTAGACAAGATAATTCTGTGACTATAAATAGTGACTTTTGTTCGCAAAATCTTTTTACACGCAGGACTCTTGCAGTGAATATGAGGGCACAAATCTGTGGTCACACACACTTGACCCTCTGTCAAATAAGTAGAAAACTCACTTTTAAAATAGCAAGCACTGGTTTCACACTTGGAACACCATTAAGTCGTGGGACTCAAATTTATATAAAGTTATGCTTTGACCGCGTTTGTGTGTGTGTGTGTGTATGTGTGTGTGTGTGTGTGTGCGTGTTGTCAACAACAGAGACAAAGCACAAGGAAACAATGTGAGTCGCAAGTCCTCTCCTTTGGAGATTTATTATATAACAATCGTCATACTTTTTATTCATCTTCCCTTCTGACAAGATTCGGTGGATTTTCAAGCGACAATGTCGGGGCAGTGGATTTTCTAGTGACATTCTCAGGCCCTTTTGTAAGTGAAATGCTCCCACAGCGATCACTGTTTTATTGCCATTTCGCCACCCCTCAGCACAACATAGGGCGGGAGTCGGGAACCCAGCAGGGATGTGATGGCAAACAAGTTCAGGGAGAAACTAACGCACGACAACAAAACGCCCCGCTCCTGAGCCTGGAATCAGCAGCAACCTCTGATGTGATCCGTGTGTCCCCCTCCCCACTGCCCACTGCTCGGAAACCCAGCCAAGCGCTGAGCGCATCCGGTGCCATCCTCCTGCCCCTAAGTCCGCGGAGTGGAGCAGGGCGGCCCTCCAGGACCGAGACGCGCCGGCCCGGGACCAGGGGTTCTAAGCCCCACCGCGCCCACCGGGCTGGCAGCGAGATGCATTCATCGCACGCCGGGGACTAACCAGCCTCCGGCCGCGTGGGCAGCGACCGGCTGCGGGCGGCGGGCGGCGGGGGCCGGGGCGGGGCCGCAGACGGGGCGGGGCAGGGGCTGCCAGATCTGCGCGCCCGCCACGCCGAAGCTCCTTCTCCTCCAGCCCTGGAGACTCTAGGGAGCCGGTGGCGCCCCAGCTCCACTCGGAGCCGGGAGGAGGAGAGAAGCTTTCGGGAAGCGTCTCTCTAAGGGATCTGGCGGCGGCTTTTATCGGGAGAAAAAGCAGCAGCTGCACTTCGCCTGCAAGCATCAGGCTCCGACTTTCATCAGGCGCCCGCCGTAGCGGGAACTGATTGACCTCCCAGAGAGATCAGGGGTGGGGAAAGCTGAGGAAAGGAGCCCCTCATCTTCTCACCACCCACCCTCCCCAAAAAAATCACTGAAAAGTCTGGGGTTCTCAAAGCTCCCCCCCAGGATGCAGGAAAGCAGCCTCTCGGCTTGTTTACCCCTCGGAAAAGGCAACGATCGGTCACCTCCTCGCCCAGCAAGTGTCCCTGGGCAAAAAGCCAGGCGCTCTCGCCTCCTTCATTCACTTTTTAAACCTCTCACTTTTGCCTTTCAAGATTTCAGTCTCCGAGAATCAGAATCCTCTCCACGTATCTTGCACCCGCAAGAGAAGGGAGAGCGAGAGCGAGATACTCAGGCTGCAGAAACCTCTCCCCCTAGTGATGGCAGTTATTTATAGCTCAAACTCCTGCCCGGGTCGGCTGCAGCTAGCGCGCGGGGCTCTCAGCGGTTGTGCAAACTTTTCCTTAGGTCCCGCAATTCCGGAGTAATCGGTGCAAGGTTTCGGGAAAGAATGTTCTCTGATGTTAACGTAATAGGAGTAGAAATGTGATTTTTACTGCGCGCGCGCGCGTGTGTGTGTGTTTCTAGCAGCTGCTGCTTCATCTGCAAATGCATAACCGACACCTCGGTATCCTGTTTTCTCTGAATGGGTACAGCGTCAACACAGGTTGCTGATGTGGAAACTAGGATCAGAAGGTCAAAAGGGACCAAAGAATAGGACAAAGTGTCGATTGGGTTGTGAGCCGAGAGAAGGAAAATGTACCAAGGAACTAAAAATGCAACACTTTGAAATCTTTAAGTTTTTAGTAATTCATAAAGTGAGAAGCGATATGTAACAGCGCACCATCCCCCAACCGCTACCGTGACCTAAATCTGTTAAAGAGTCCTCTACACTCCAGAATCAAGTAATTATTAATTCTGATTTTTAATAGGAGAAAACCATCCTTAGATTTACAGACTGGAAGACGGAGAGGTGGAGGATTGATTGTGACACTGCTCTGAAGCATGACATTACCATTGATAGGATTTATTTTTCCCCAGCTCCAACTACAGGCACCAAAAGGTATTTTACCTTCTGTCAATGGTTCAAAGGAGAAAGGGGGGGGGGGGAGGTGGAGATGGGGGTGGGGGTGCAGGGTGCATCTACACGCTTATCCGGCTGCCCAAATGTAGCCTGCTGCCCCCACGCAGAGCTAGCCCCGGGCTCCAGGTCTTTCTCGAGGTCTGACCGCACGAAGTCCTCAACTGCTGGACGCTGGGCCAGATGTTTGGGGTCTTGCGGTCGCCCGGGCAGCATCTTTATTGCACAGCCTCAGACTGCCCCCTGTCTCACTGGTCAGACCAAACCCGCTGGGCTGCCCCAGTGCCTACGGCCGCCAGCACCGCGCGCAGCGCACGCTGCAAGGCAGGTCCCCAGTCCGCGGGGCGCGCGCCGCTCTCCCACTTCACCTCGGCGGCGTTATTGTTCCGCGCGGGCTGCCGGGCGCCAACCCCAGGCCTCCGCCGCCGCCTCCGACGCAGTGAGCACTTCATTTGCAACCCGAGCGATCCGAGCGCCTACCAGTCAAGGCCCCCTCGGGGAAGGCTCGGGACTCGGGCAAACACCGAGGATCGGACCCAGACACCAGGGGCTGCGCTCCCGTGGTCTCCCACCAACTCTGGCCAAAGCTTACTCCACTAGAGAACACCGATGGGAGGAGAGAGAAGAAGGCTCGAGGAAGAGACCTAACCCAGCCGGGTTCCCCGAGAAGGAGCTCGCCGACAGCCCCCCGCGCGCATACCCCGGCGATCGCGGCTGCTGCTCACGCCCTCCAAATAGCCCGCACCAGAAATCTCTCTCCCGTCGGGCGGACAGCCCCGGGCGCGAGGCTGCAGCGGCTCGGAGCAACCCCGCGAGCTGCCCGCCCTCCAGGAGCAGCCGGAGCGGCGAGGGGGCGGGGAACCGGCAGGGGAGGGTCGCCGGGCGCCAGAGGCGCGGCTGGCAGACCCGCTGACGAGCCGGTACGTGCAGGTAGACAGCGAAATAAATAAGTCAGAACAAACTTTGCTTTCCCATCTCCTTACCTTCCTTTGCAGCCTGCGCCTCCCCGGTGTGTGCAAAGCGGAGCAGCCAGATGTAGCATAAAATAATCCATGAAGGGTGCCGAGTTTGAAAAACCATGGTGCATGAGCAGGTTTTATTTTAGCTTTCAGTTGAGTGGTAGCTTTTTAAATGCTGTTTGCTCCGAGATGGGTTTGGGTTTGGATTATTTTTTTGGTTTTAAATTTTTTTTTAAATTAGTATTGCGCTCCTCGCATCGATTCCCCTTCTCGATCTCCGGCCGGCTGCTCCACGTTCAGCTTTTTTAATTTTTTTTTTTCCCCCTCCAGTTTGTTCGCACCGTATTTGCTGCCTGCAAGTCTCCGACTGCAGACCGGCCGCTTGCTCCACACTCCAATAATATCAATTAGGGGAGGGGGCGGGGCTCCGGGCCTAGAGCCTACGCCACTCGGGCTGAGTGGCAGGCGCGGCCGACCTGCCAGACAGCGATTCCCAGGGCCTGGGGGCGGGTCCCGACCAAACAGCCGCCCCGGTCGTGGGGGCGGGGTTCGGGTTGCCGACCAATCGGTAACGAGAGGAGTCAGGTTGCGGGTCCAGGATTCCCTCCAGGTTCTGTGCTCCCGGCCAGCTCCGGATGCTCGGAGAGAGGGGAGAGGAGGAGAGGGAGCTGAGGTGCGTGCAGTCGTGAGCGCTGTGCTTTTCGTAGCGGCATCTTTCCTGGAGCAAAATAAATCCGAGAATAATGTTTCGTATGAGTGCAACAGTCTAGCGGTACCCCTCGCGGTCGTTGAGAAACCTGAGATGCAAGCCATCTCTCAGCTTCCGTGCACAGAGCCCGGACTGTGAAATGAGCTGTGCCTTTAAGTAACTGCCTTTTACTTTTTTTGTTGTTACTCTCAACCTTCGCGGGTCGGGTAACTTCTTTCTTTCTTCCTTCCTTTCTTTTCTCTTATTCTTTTTTCCTATCGCGAAGGCGTTCTACTTCTCTTTTTCTGTTACTTCAATGGCAGTTCTCTCTGGACCTCACTCTGCAGAATCTCTAGAAGAATGAAAGTACTCAAATGTATTATGTTTAAAAAATGTTTCCAAGAGTTTGTAACAAGCTCTGGCCAAAGAAACAGAGCTGGAGTGGAAAAAGGAAGTCTTTTGTGTTCTCTCTTCTCTTATCCCCCGCCCTATCATTTCACAATACTTAAGTGGCGAATTGGAACCTTAAGAGAATCCTCAGAAGGTTCTGTAGCATTATTCTTACACGTTTATAAATTTTCTGAAATTCTTCCCCTTATTGCCCCACTTTGATCACTGCCCCATTTTGCTGTATAAATTACACTTAATTTTAGAGAATGCCACCATGCATTAAATTCTAAGGCGAGACCTTTTTACATGTATTGACCACTTTTTAGTGACTAGTCAATAATTTTCTTCCAAAGGGAAACTATGAATTAAAAAAAATAACCAGCGTTTCTAGTTGAATCCATCCAACGAATAAGCCAGGAATAGAGACCATCCTAGAGAGAGAAATCTATTTACCGTTAGGCAGTTTCAAACAATACAATTTAAAAGGTGGGTAATTTAATAAGAGGAATAACTTTAAGCTCCTAATTGCCAAATGATCCATTTCAAAGGTCACACAGAATAAATTGATGACATGTTTCTGATAATCTTACTTTTCTTGTCCTTTATTTCTTCTTCAACAACAAAAATTTTCTAGTTATTTATGATTTTCTTTTTGCATAAGGACAAAGTTTAATCTTGCCTAATATTCCAAACTTTTCTTATATTTTATATAGAAATATAAGGTAAATTAGGTCATTTCTAGTATTTGTAGTCAACATTTCTTAGAGAAGTAAGATTTTATGCTAACTTGTCTTCTACAGTTTTTTTTGTCTAGATGAAATTGTGCAGAGCAGAGGAAGAAAATATCCTTCTCCTCTAACCTCTGATGCTGAAGGGTTTTTTCCCTCCTGAATGTTATGTGTTCTTATTATACCTATTAAATTATACTTATTAAATATTTCAGACACTATAGCTAAAAGTATCTTGAGGGTCTTTTAAAGGATTCATAGAAAATATAAACTGCTTAGTCGATTAACCTTGAAAAAATGTACAATGCATTTGTGAAGAGATCAAGTGGTTATTTACACAAGCAGATGCTTTACAAGTAAAAAATGTAAGGTAAAACACTAGAATTAAAAACATAAATCCTCACACATAGGCTTTAAGACTATTAATCTAAAAACTACATACTCACAAATATTAAACCACCTCTAATAGTTGAAATAATTCTCCAGTATTTCAACACTTTCTCTAGGGTTTCATCCCCACTTCTTACAATGACACCAAGGTAGCCTTTAAAGTTTAAAATATCCCTTTCATCCGTTGAATGACTAATACTCAGTGATGTGAATACAAATACCTTTCCATTAAATCAGGAAACCAAAGAAGTAACATTCTTCAGTCTGATGAGTGTAGGTGGCATAGGGAACCCTTCTTATTGTGTTCCTTTGCTCTCAGACTCAGGGGCATGTGCAGTCCTGCTTTTATTTTAGAGACAAGAGACTTCGCATTGAATGCACATGTGCTAGATCGCTGACAGTTTTCTCTGCAGATGTGCAGAGTTGTACAATGATACTAATTATTATTATTATTATTATTATTTTAGGTATGCCAATCTTCTCTGCTTTCTTTCTAAGTACTTTGGTAAAGAAGTTATGACATTTAAATTAAGCAAATCACTTAATCAAAAAAGAGAATATTTGTTCTACTGCATATATTTTAATGTGTAAATTGATATCAGATGATACTTGACTAATGGTAAAGTATGTAAATCTATTTATGAAGCCATTGAAGAAAAAGAACAATTTTTTTCTTAATATAACTAAAATGAATTATTTAGCTTCATATCTATATACTGTGTGTTTTATATCTAAAGCAAGTTATAAAAGTTAAACAATTGTGTCTATATAAAATAAACGATAAAATATCACATTTTTTAAATAATATCAAAGGCTGTATATAGCTATCACTTGTGAGCCAGAGCAGAAATTCTAAACTGTATTTTGCTTTTGATACACTCATTGTATAATATTCTTGATAGAGTAGCCTTCTTACATTTAGTTAATTTTAAATAGGAAAAAGATGAAAATCTTAATATTTTTATTCCAAGCATCCCTTCTCAAATACTTGTCAAAAAGTGCTGGTGATTTAGCATAAAAAGAAAAAATGTTCTTTAGCATAGAAAGAAAAAATGTTTTTCTTCTGATACAAGGAAGATATGCAAATTTTCCACTGTGATTTTTAATCTAATTAGTAATATTCCCATATAATTATATATGTATGAAAATAAATATATAATTTCAAGACAGACATCCCAAATAAGATAAAGCAGGCATATCCTTTTATCTATCTTTAATACTAATATTTCCCTCTCTATTTATTCCCAGGAAATCATCTTTTGTTTTAAGAGTGACTATTACTTAGGGATAAATCAGGTGACTTTAAGGGAAAGTTTCATAGTTTTCAAATAAAATTCCATGTGCGTATAGTAGAAGTAGTAGTTGTAGACAGGACTGAGAGAATAAAGGAATAATCTGACACTTTAGAATGTTATAAACCCAAGGCTGCCAAATTAACTAACAAACATGAAATCTAAGACTTGTTTCTGAGTCTACAACTTTTACACTTACTGTCTAAATGCATTTACAGCTGGTAAATGTGAAGTACAAGTTCATCACAGAAAAGGGGTAATTTAAACTGAATTAGAAAAGGTACTGTGCAGAAGAAACTGATTATAAACCGAAAAGAAACATTGTGTCTCAGCTAATAGATATTACAGAAAATTGCGTTCTCTATTTGTGATTTCAGTCAAAATGTAAACAATCTTTCCACTGTGCAAGAAAACCATTTAAGTGTTTACATTAGCATGATTTATGTAGTGTGTATAAAATATTTATTTTCAGTCCAATGTAAAAAATGTACATAAGTTAAGCACATAAAAATAGTAATAATTTAACCTATTCTGCTTTGCTTCAGATAAAACTGACCACGTAATCAGTCAGACTTTAGGAATTATATCATGATTCTATTTTGTATCTTTATTAAAGTTTATTCACTTTTGTGAGATCAAATTATTAGCGACATTTATAAAATTAATTTATAATTATTTTTAAAATTAAAGTATAATTAATTTACTGAAATTGTTCTGTTAAGACAGTTCAAATAATATAAATTATAACATTTAATGTATTTGATATATAATATAAAATTATAAGTCCAACTAAATACGACTAATGTATTGATTTTAGAAGATTTTAGAAAATCTTCTAATCACTTATATACTCAAAAAGCGTTAAGTCATTTAACTTTTATTATTTACTAATATTAAATATATACCAAATATAGCATTAATTTGTATGTCTTATACACAAAATTATGTAATGTCTATACAGTAATCTAATTTTACTTAGAGTTTTCCCCTCAAATGTTCTTTTAACCCATTATGTACGCGTCATTATGCTAAATCACCAGCACTTTTAAGACGAATCAGCTTAAATTATTTAGGTCATCTTTAAATGCATTCATGGCTTCATATTACTCTTTTTTTTAGTTTTTCAAACTCAGTATGGAATTTTAGGTGTCAAAGAGATCTATGATTATTCAGTGACCACCAGGGGGCACCACAATCTCCTGATGTTCTGACCAATCAGGTCTATATTGAATAAGGATGATGTCATTTTTAAATCATGTATATTTATATATCAAATATCTATTTGTGCCCATATACTGATGCATTGGATGTATTTTATGTATCTATAACTACATATAATTAATCCGCATTTTCCCATTGTCACTATTAATTTTTACTCTTACCTTAAGAGTTTCATAAAAATCTGTGAAATCTTATGTGTCCTATTTTAGTCTATAGAGACCAAGTTAACTGCAAGGACACAAGACTACCTCAGAAAGAGAATTATCTTAACAGAAAAATTGCTACAGTTTTATAACTAGTCATTGGAGAAACTCCAGATAGATTTCAGATATTTTCATTCTTACCTTCCATTCATCTAAGTCCCAACATCCTTTCTTTCTTTCTTTCTTTCTTTCTTTCTTTCTTTCTTTCTTTCTTTCTTTCTTTCTTTCCTTCCTTCCTTCCTTCCTTTCTTTCTTTCTTTCTTTCTTTCATTCTTCCTTTCTTTCTAACCAGTGAATAAGGTCAGTATGGTTGAGTGTTCTCTTAGAAATAATATTTGTGAGATTTTCAAGAACCTATGAACATCCTAGAACCTTCCCGATTAAAGGACATCTTAATATATTTTTAAAGATAGCACAGTGGGTAGGGCGTTTGCCTTGCACGCAACCAACTTGACCAACCCGAGTTCGATTCCTCCGCCCCTCTCGAAGAGCC